TACTAAGAAGCCTAGTTGAGCCGAATCCGAGCTTCCAAATAACCCTAGAAAGACGTATAGTCTTGACTAACTATATTTCTTTCTAATTTTTTTAATTTGTTAGAGGTGGTTTCAAAACAAAATCATTAATAAGAAGATGCACAAAAGTTGAAAGTTAATAAAATATATTAACATTTCATTATAATAATATATTATTTTATAAAAATAATTCACATTAATAATATTTATACGTGTTGTTTGCTGAAGACGTTACGTCGTCGAGGCGTGCTGCTCACTGCCAAGATTTTTGTGTGAGGGTTGTCGAGGGCCGTCGACGCCGCGTGCATGCCAGGCAACCGTGCAAAATTCGCGTCAACCTGCAGCGCAAAGAAAAACGTCGATGAGGCTGCTCCCACTATGTTTGCTCGTGGCCTACGCTGGCACAATCGTATAGCCTGCTCGATGCTCACTGGGCGTCGACGCCCCCAACAACATCATGTGCCTCGTGTGAGCGTCTGCGAGGTGATCACACGCCATGCGCAGCGCTCTATCTCCGAGCATTGTGGCCCTACCTTCGAGGTGGCCTCATGCCATGGCCAACCTCTCATCAACATTGTCTACACTGCTACTGCCAGCAATCGGCTCGCGAGACTAGGCGTCACCGACAACAAGCTACTAACAACCCTCCTTGTCTGTCATAATACTTGAAATAGTTGACTGAATACTAAGATGGTTATTACAATCTCCATTCATAAAACAATGTCAGTTTAGGATAGATTTTTATTTCTAATTACTTGTTATTTATACTATTTTCGAATTATATACATACAAATACTCTGAAATTATGGGTAATTGTTTTTTTTTTATATTTTTAATATATTCACTCTTAGAATATAATTTATGCACATTATAACCTCCTATTGTTAATTTAAAATTTGCACTGATCGTATTAAATACTATGTTTAGTATGGATATATTTGGCAGTTCAAAATGTTGAACAAATAATTCTTACTCTTAAGATAAATTGTAAATGATGTCAAGAAAGTTATATATACAAATGAAAAACCATTTTTCAAAGAGCGCAACATAAACAAAGGAGGACAGTCCACACAACATTCACTGGAAGAGTTGGACTAAAATTACTCTACCAAAACTTAATGGAGGCTTGGGATTTCATGACATCAAATTGTTCAATGAGGTCCTGATCTGTAAACAACTTTGGAGGATTATTACACAGCTAGACCTGTTGGTGAGTAAAATTCTAAAAGACAGGTACTTTCCTGACACCTCTATTTTTCATGTCACAGAATCACATAAAGACTCTTGGCTGTGGAGATGTTGGCTTCATGTGATTTCAAATTTTTCAAAATGGCTGATGACTGA